GGTGGGAATGGGTGATTGGCTGATAGGTGTGCTAAACCTGTTGACTGTTAACGACTGCAATTGGTCTTACAGGAAAAAGCAAGGGGTGAGATGGCTAAAAATAGCTTTAACATGTATAATGAGATAAGAATCCAATGTCTCTATTCAGACCAGGTCTCTCCATGGTTTTAAGTTTGGTAACAAGTTGCAATTGCTCTGAATAGAGACATTGAATCTGGTGACTTCTGTTTCAGTGTATCTGAAGAAGTGTGCATGCACACGAAAGCTCATACCAATAACAAACTTAGTTGGTCTCTGAGGTGCTACTGGAGGGATTTTTTTATTTTGTTTCGACTACGGCAGACCAACACAGCTACCTACCTATAACTAGAGTCAGAGGGCTAGGGAATAAGCAAGTAGGACCCAGGCTGGGGTAGCTAGCTGTGCATACTTGCTTCAATATCCCTACTTGGGGATTTTAACTTTTTCTAATGCTCTACAAAATACCTTTGAGGTTGTGAGACAGTTGGTCATCACCATTGACTGAACGCTGAGTATAAAGAGGTCAAATCAGCTTGAGGAATCTGAGTCTGAATTAGAAATAAAGCTTATACACATGTCCTAATCCCATGCCCTCTTCGTTTATCCTCTATCAATGCCATCTGATTAACTTGCATTGTTCATATTCATCCATGGCCATAATATGACCCTAGTTAGTGTTCACATCTGACTGTTTTATTATTTTGATCCATAATTTCTTTTTCACATCATGCAATAATACTCTCCAGGCAGCTCATTTGAAAGTGATTACTGTACTCTGTGGGCTATAAAACCCACCTGGCCTTATTACACAACCGAAGGTATGCTGGGTTAGCAATTGCCCATAAATGCAACGCCTATTGTGTCTAAACGCTTAATTATATTTTCCGTTTTAATTCTGCAGCTCAGGTAGCATGGGCAAACCATTCTCCCCAGGAACATACTTTGGATTTTCTCTCTCCCCCTCCCACCTTTTTTATGGCAAGTGCTTCTTTCTAGTTTGTCAGCCAACTTGTCCATTGGCTTGTCTGAAGATAGGAAAATGCTGGATGCCACATGATCCAGAGTAGGACTGGTTAGTATGGTCTTGTATTGGTGGGAGGAATTTTTGTCAATGCGCTAGTTCTTTTTAAAATGTTTATACCCAGTGCTTTTTTTCTGGGGGGGGATGCAGGGGTACACATACCCCTAAACATTTTGTGAATCTAAGTGTGACCTCATTGAGGGGCAGTATTTCAATATGAGTAGGAAAGTGAGAGTACCCCTAAACATTTTTTTAGAAAAAAAAGCACTTTTATACCAGCTAATTGCTTGCATTGAATTTTAATGTACACTGGTACCTCAGGTTAAGAACTTAATTTGTTCTGGAGGTCCATTCTTAACCTGAAACTGTTTTTAACCTGAGGTACCACTTTAGCTAATGGGGCCTCCCGCTCCCACTGCACCGCCGCTGCGCGGTTTCTGTTCTCATCCTAAAGCAAAGTTCTTAACCCGAGGTACTATTTCTGGGTTAGCGGAGTCTGTAACCTGAAGCGTATGTAACCTGAAGCGTCTGTAACCCAAGGTACCACTGTATCTTCACTCCGTAGCACATGAAAATTAGCAATGCAGGCAAGATGACGGCCCTGGAACACATCTGGAAGTAAAGTTGCAAACTCTTATTTCCAAAGACCCTCTTTTATTTTCCCCTTCCACATCATGAAGCCCCTCCCTTTCACATACACTCCTGTGAAATTCAAGATCCTATTTAAGATCAATTTTTTCCATGGGTTCAGAAGCATATTTGGTTCCAATGACTTCTCATAGTCCTTAACTCCACCACTCTCAAGGACACTGGGTATTGGGGTTCGTAAGATCTGATTTAGAAGGAGAGAGCTTACTGTTTTCAGGCATAGAAACCTCAAGCCCGCTTTTGGCGTCCAGATCTAAATCCATCTGTCCAACCATAGACTGTTCTATAGGGAGCTGGGACTTTATAATATTCTCTTAGAAGCTACCCAGAGTAGCTGGGGTACAAGTAAGAAATGATTATTCTATTACATTCTCTATTTTATAGAAATATCATATTGTAATGCTATGCTCACCCACTTTATTTCCTCTCTCAGACTAGATTCTTTCATATCTTAAGGTATGAATGTATTAAGTTAAAGGTGCCCATGATTCCTACCAATGCCCATATGCTGTTCTGCATTAACTATTGGAATAATTAGTCAATATAAGCTTTCATTCTCATAATAAACTTTTGGAGCAAGTCTGTATGAGAATGGTTCTTGTATAAGATAAGGGACACAGTGAGAACAGTATCTCCAAGGGAAATATCTCACTGCTCAGGGTAGTGTGTTCAAGGTATAAATATGCAATAATTGATTGTGACCCATTGGTTACAATGTCCCACTGATTTAATTGGAATTCAGCTTGGCATTCTCTGGAGTGCAATAATAGAGTTGGTTTAGCAAACAACCGGCCAGAATGAAAGCACTATCCTCCTACCTGGCCCTTTCCAAGGTACTGCTAGTGGACAGAGGGGAGAGTGAAGGGTTAACAAATCTATACTTTGTTTGCTTTGGTCCATTTGTGTCCATTTGTCATCCCAGTGTCAGCTTATACTCGGGTGTCTGTTTTCGAGCAAATGTAATTACAAAAGGAAAATAGGCTTGCCCATGTGAAGAATGACACAACAAAGAAACGAATTAAGTTCCAGTAATTGTACTACATGATGATTTCAATGTGTTCATTCAGAGGCTAAATACCATAACCATAAAGATTTTTCCCCCTCTTCCCATGGCCATCAAGGATGATTTCTTCTTTAATACCACTGTTGTCTCTCTACCAAACAGTTCCTTGGCACATGGACATTGCTTATTTATCTGTACATCACCTTGCACCTCGTCAACACACCATCAATATTCATCAGACTGATCCCAGGCTGCTCTGCTTCTCTTTGTTTGCAGATCTTCCTTGGGACAGAGATCCTATAATCTATATCTCCTCCGGTAGCTTTCCCACCATTGCCTGCATAATTGAAAAGTCAATAACATACAATTTAGAAACCCATTTCGCTTAATCTACTAGAGGTTTGTGCTGGCAGATTGTGAATGTCACACTAATGGTGAGAAAAGGATTTTGCATAATTGTGAGCTCCAAAGCAAACAACATATTCCAAGCTTCCAAGACCTCATATGTGGCTTTTTATGGTGCTTAAAACATCTCTAGTATAACCTCTGTTGCTAATTTCTTTCAAGACTCCTTATACAACTGAGCATCACCTTAACTGTTAGTAGTAACTAAGCTATAGCTTTTCTGCTACATAGGAGAGTGGTACTATGATGAATGATACTAACATACCCTTGGTGTTAAGAAAAGAGTACCTCTTTAAACTCAGCCAAAAAAGACTTAAATTTCCTCTGGTGATACATTGCCTCACCAGATCCATTCAGATGAATCTTAAGACTTTCTTGTTTGGACAGGCCTTTGCAACATTAATTTCCCTTCTAATCTGGTCAGAATTTATTGTGTCTTTTATGGAAGCCTTTGTTGGTTTTGATTTTATATGCTGTATTCAGCCTTGTTATTTATTTATTTTATGACAGTGTGGCTTCTAAAACCATTTAAAAATAATAATAAAATGGAAGAATTATTTCCATTTTTACCATTTTGTGAAAGCAAAAATTCAATACCTTGCAAGCGTTTTCACAGCCAACCATTTTCACTGTTCATGCCTCTTCCACACCAAAGATGGGTCTGTTGCACACAACATCTGGAGGACTTTCCTTAAGACAGTTCATGGCCTGACCCTGCTATAGTCAATGAAATGTCCTCCAGTGATTTTCTCCACTTCTCCAACTGCTAAAGCTACAAAGATTATCTTGTGTGAATGGAGTGGACTCTGCCGTTCACTTGTAACAGGGCTCCTGCAATCCTGGTGGATCACATCGTATGAGTGAAATCCATTATGACTGTGTCAATTCCAGAGTTGTCCCATGGAAATAGCATGCCCTTTGCCTTTATGTGCCTTCTTCTCCTTAACAAGAGAAAATAACTTCATTCCCCTCCCCCCCCAGTGGAGTGCTTCTTTTCATATGCATTATTTAATGTGTATTTGGCCAATTCATAATGCCCTGGTCATATCTCAGGTCAGCACTAAGAGAAGCATTAATGTTCACGCAGTAGCTGCTTCTCTATCCCCAAAAGCTCTGGGTACTTACATTTTATAGCCCAATTAATTATTTTAGTTTAGAACAACTCCAATATTGTCTACGATGCTCCCCCAGAAGAAAAAGACAAATAAAATTCCCAATTACCCAGGATAGTATAGCACCTCTGACTATATATCATTATGAAGCCTTTAATACAAATGCTAGATTTTCATTAGCTAAAAGCCTATTTGTCCTTAATGAGCTGTTAAAGACCAAGGGCAACATTCTCTTTTGACTTGCACCAGCATCGTCTCATTATCCAAGGGCCTGCAAGATCAGAGGAGAGCAAGAAATGAGAGCAGCCCCAGCCCTCAAAGTTAGCACTTGTGAAGCAGTAGGATTTCCAGGTCCAGACCTTATGGCCCTGCGCTCCTAGAAAACATAAATGCTCTTGAGGGATGCACACCTGAGCAGCATAGAAAATGCTGAACATGGCATTACAGTATAGCATCATTGTTAGTACATGTATCGGCTTACACACCTTGTGGGGATTAGTACCAGTGACATCATAGTACTGCCGCTCATCATTAAGTTAAACCATTTTCTTGTGAACACAAGGGACTGTCTTATACTTGATCAGGCAGGTCATTTATCCGTCAGGATCCCAGTTTCATTTAACCATTTCTACTTTTCTTTAACCATTCTGCATCAATTAATGCAGAAATAAATTGCATTGAAAATCATCAAAGGGGATAGAAAAAAATCAGTAGGGCATGCTTTATTGTAAATTTACTTTTACAGTTGCCAAGGGTTGTTTGAAAGTGCCCTTTCTATTATTCTACTGCTGGATAGCTCAGTTGGTTAGAGTGTGGTGTTGGTAGCACCAAGGTCGCAGGTTCAATCCTCGTATGGGACAGCTGCTTATTCCTGCATTGCAGGGGTTGGACTAGATGATCCTCAGGATCCCTTCCATCTCTATGATTCTACAGTGATACCTTGGGTTACATACGCTTCAGGTTACATACGCTTCAGGTTACAGACTCTGCTAACCCAGAAATAGTGCTTCAGGTTAAGAAATTTGCTTCAGCATAAGAACAGAAATCGGGCTCCGGTGGCGCGGCAGCAGCAGGAGGCCCCATTAGCTAAAGTGGTGCTTCAGGTTAAGAACAGTTTCAGGTTAAGAACGGACCTCCGGAACAAATTAAGTACTTAATCCGAGTTACCACTGTATATCTCTAGCGGTCTGCACTCTGCAGCCTTTCCAGGTGCTCAGATCTCTCTCTCTCTCTCTCTCTCTCTGTGTGTGTGTGTGTGTGTTAGTTTTAAATAAACAAATAGAGAAGCATTTTATTGAATGGTAAAATGAAGTATTACCCTTAAAAGCAAAACCAATGACTGCACTGATCTTGGGTGCTGAGTAAGCTACCTGTAATGGGTTTAGGGGTTGCTCGTGCGTAAGTTGCCGCCACTCCTGGCTAGGTTACCTGGTTGAACCCTTTCTGACTGGACAGCCTCTAGCTTCGTGGCTGTCTCAGTCGCTGGCAGAATCCGTCAGTGGGCGTTTCTTGAACTTCTTCCAGCATAGAAGTTCTTTGACGCCAAGTCTCCTCCTACTCTCCCTGCGCGGAAGCCTTCTGCGCAGGGAGGGTGTGGGCAGCGGAGTACCCGTACCCTCTCCGCTGGTCTCCGGCGAGGAGTCTTGGAGCCTCCTCTCCGATTCCCCCATCTGCCCCCCTTCTCTACTGGTGTTACGCTGATTTCCTTCCCCAGCAGATGGGCTGCCTCTCTCCCTACTGGGACCCTCTCCGGTATCCCTCTGGAGCCTTCTCTCCGCCTCTCGCTCCGATGGCAGTTCCCTGACACTACCCTCCTTGGCTTTCCACACTTCATTTAAAACCATCCTGAAGTAACTCGTTCCATGGGTTCCCTGCCCCCCACAACTCAGAAGTACAGCCAGCTAAGGAGGCTGTCAAGCATCAAGGAAATGTTAAATGGGAAGAAGAACACACACATACCATACTGAGTCACACAATGGGTTCATCTAGCTCGGTTTTATCTACACTGATGCAGGTGGTGCTGTGGTCTAAACCACTGAGCCTATTGGGCTTGCCGTTGACAATTCAAATCCCTGCAATGGGGTGAGCTCTCATTGCTCTGTCCCAGCTCCTGGCAACCTAGCAGTTCAAAAGCACGCCAGTGCAAGTAGATAAATAGGTACCGCTGCAGTGGGAAGGTGAATGGCATTGCCATGCGCTCTGGTTTCCGTCACGGTGTTCCGTTGCGTCAGAAGTGGTTTAGTCATGCTGGCCACTTGACACAGAAAGCTGTCTGTGGACAAACGCCGGCTCCCTCAGCCTGATAGCAAGATGAGCACTGCACCCCATAGTCGCCTTTGGCTGGACTTAACCATCCAGGGGTCCTTTACCTTTTTGCCTTTGCACTGACTGGCAGCACTTTTCTAGTTTTCAGACAGGGGACATTCCCAGCCCTACCTAGAGATGGCAGGGATTGTACCTGGGACCTGCTGCATACAAGTAAGATGCTTTAACATTGAGCTGTAGCTATGCATGAGCAGCTGCTCAGGTGATGCCTGCCAGGTGTGGAATTTGTCTTCCATTGGCCCCAGCCAGGATAAGAAAGAACTGCGGGATTTGTAGTCTACAGCATGTGGAGTGTACCAGGTGTGCTACCTCTGGTTTGTAGATATATATTTTCCTGGTTTATCATTCCAAAAGCAATGCAGTAATATTAATCATACAGGAGGCCCTTTGTAGAAGAAAGATGCAGATGGGAAATTAAGAAAGAGTGCCTGTGCCCTATCTTTATTCACGTCTCCCACATCACTTACAACAGCCAATCTAGGTGGCATCTGCTTTCCCTATTATCATTCCTGTTTGCCATCCTGACATGAAAAATAACAGAGAACGATACAAGTACATGCAAGGTCAGACACACAAGTTATATTTTAGAAAATGTACCAGTAACCTTCTCTGCACAGTAATTAGCTTTTTGTAACCTTTAATATAAGACAAAAATGCACATGGCTGAAAGGAAGGCTAATCAAAGGCGCAGGATTGAAAGCAAAGAGAATGAAGGCAGGCAGGTGAGTTTGTCTTACCACTCTTCAATCCTGACTCACACAGCAACAATTAATAATGATAATAAAACGTGCCCACGCAGGGCTTGTCAAATAATTCCACCAGGGACTTAAGCTATCAGATCTTGTTAAAAGCAGCATTAAACACTCACCTTTTCCAACACTGACTTAGCCATGGAAGCCACGCAGTATGTATGGAACATGCAAGGCAATACAAATAAACCAAGATACTTGCAAGCAGCCAAATATGAATAAATGGAGAGAGGAACAAGTTTAGCAGTGGATTAGAAAACAGTTCAAGGGATATCTATCAATATATCTAGGATCAAAAGGTTTCACTTTAAGAAAAGAGTTAAGGCGCTTAAAAATTCACTCATGCTCCAAAAAGCACGTAAATTGATTTTGAAAAAGTAAGCAAAAAGGCATACGCTGGCTGAACACATGAAACACATTTACTTCTCACTAGGTATTAGGGAGCAATTCTACGCAGTTTTCATTTTAAGGCAAACCTACGTAATTCGTACTTTCTGAAACGATGCATAAACTAAAATGCAGCCATTCTTCAAGATTCACACTTCTCTAAATCTTCCACTGCAGTTTATCAGGCAAATAATATGTAGAAAAATCCACATACTAAAGTCTGCAAAAATGCTTATATTAATGAAAACAACATACAAAAAAATAGCACCCTTGTGCTACTACGGGCCATGTGGCAACCAACATGTGGTTTCAGCACAACAGAAGACTTGTCACCCTTGGAAAATGAGAGAAGGCATAAAGATGGACCCATGTGTACAGTGTTACCATAATAGCAACATTAATAATAATAATAATATTAATATTTATATATAAACCTATACCCACAGATGTCAGGCCGGTTATAGCTGCCCAGAAGGTATTAACTATTGGGCATGCCTTCCAGAGGAGACAGCAGGTTCCTAGAGCCCCACAAAAAACCCCAATGTTTTTAATTCAAATAGTGCAGACTGCTTTAAGAACACAATAACACAACGCTCCTAGGTTTACAGAGATATGATTTGAAAGCCATGGAACTAGCCCAGCATTTGGGGGGGGGGGGTGCACCAGTCTCACATCCATATTTTGATATAGCTCACTTTGAAAAAATGCAGACAGGATGGCAGGGAACTATAATTTCTTTGTGAAAGCTCCTAAATCTTCATGGCTTGCTGTTAGAGGGCTGACATTTACTGTTTTGGAAGTGCTTGCTGTTTCCATGGCATTATAGATGCTGTAGGGCACTGCAAGAGCTATGTATCCCACATACATATACAAGGAAGCTGGAGGCAATCCTTTGTTGAAATCTGGGCATTTTCTGGGACCCAGCAGAGTAAAACTCAGGCTTTCTCTGTCGACTGCATCCCAAGGTCTGTTTTACCTTGCTTGTTTCTCCTTTGATTCCCCTTGCCACACTGGGCAATTTTAATCAATGCCAAACATTGCACAGAAGGCTGCTAAGTGAATATTGTCTCCCTGCTCCCCCTCCACAACCAGCATGCGTTGACTACAAGCAGTTTGGTGTGCCTTAGTAATCTGCCGTGAACCCATAAATAAGTCTTTTAAGTATTCTGTAACCAAATAATCCAAATCGACTGTACCAGGCTTTGCTATCAAGGTACACAAAAGGAAGGTTTACCTACTTCAGTTTGTTTTAATATAACACATTCTGTTCCCAAGATTCAGGTTTCGAATTTATTGGTGTTATTCTTGCTGTCTGAGAAATGGAGTATCAGAGGAGAACATACAAACTGGTGGCAAGATCAAAAAACACAAAACAAGAGCCACAAGAATGAGGGAGCTGTGTCTGACAAGCCTGGATTTACAGAAGCCATCCTGGTTTCTGATTTGAACCTGGAATGTCCCACTTTTCCTTAGGATGTCCCTATTTTCATCAGAGAAATGTTGGAGGGTGTGGAGTTATGCAACCCTTGGGCCAAAAAGGTAAGTAACTATACAGCCTTTAGAAGACAGCTGGAGGCACCCCTATATGGGGAAGTTTTTTAATGTTTAATGTTTCATTATGTTTTTATATACGTTGGAAGCCATCCAGAGGGCTGGAACAACCCAGTCAGATGGGTGGGGTTTATTATTATTATTATTATTATTTTCATCAGAGAAATGTTGGAGGGCATGTTTTCAATAGGATCCCATGACACTCCATCACTGCATTCCTCATGCCCATCACTATAGCAATGAAACTTGTAACCAGAAGGCAGCTCCGTGTTGTTCCTCCAAGCACAAAAATACCGCACATGTTACTCTGGGGGAAAGCGATCTTTTTGAAAATGAAGTGCAACCTGGGTGGACTCAGAACAAAAACTGTGCATTTAATGCATTAGAAACTGATCATTCAGAAAGCCCCCCCCCCAATTTTCCGCAAAGCAGCACACAGCAGCACGCCCAGCCAAGAAGCTCTCCCAAGAACGCAGCGCTTTCGATTTTCCATTATGACTTGTGACATCGCTAAATTTTCAGGACAGTCAGATGGTGCCTCTCCTGAGAAGATGTCACTGCATCAAAAGGAAATGAGACTATTTAAATGCAAGGCTGTACACACACTGGTAAAATGTGAAAATGAAACTAAGTCAATGCATCTTCACAGGGAACACGGCATAACGTGCAAGTAGAATAAAAACAGTGTGACTGCATGTTACGCTGGACTTAAACAGCCCACCATGTCGGCAATGTGTGAGAGGCATAACATACACCTTGAAGGTAATTCATTTCTTCCAGCTAGATAGCTATTAGCTAAAATTAGCACACAAAAAAGTATGCCAATGGATCATTTAGGATTTGAGAAG